TTTGACCAAATGTTTGATCAAACATTACCAAAGTAATTGATAATACACCTGACACCAGCAGAATGATGTGTGATTTTCTTCAGAACAATAGCGCCACTATGTGGTGGATTATTAATATCTTTTTAGTTTTCTGTCTGATAACTTATGAACTTTTTTTTTGATAACTTATGAACTTTTTGACAGTGGGTTCCTCATACAGGGCATAGGTCGGTACAGTAGATATGGGCCATAGGTTGATGCTGTAGATACAGCACAGGTCAGTTCTGTAGACATAGGGTAGATGTCTGTACTGTGTATTTGATTCATATAATTAATTTCAGTTACATGAATGGCATGGAGCCCTGGAGGGCAAAACAACATTCCAATATGGCAACTTGTAAACTCTGTAGATCACATTTATATCACCTCTCAAAAGAAGAAAAACAAAGATATGTGAACAAATTGCAAGTTTTGGGTTCTTGTGATCCACATATAGACCCGCCACAGGATTTAAGTAATTGAGAACAGTGAAGTTCCTGCCAGACCTCCATCGTTAACATCTCTCGTTAACATCTCTCTTGTGGAGAATCCTTCCTCTCACACTGCCCGCCAATATGAAAGCATACAAAAGTACAGACTGGGGATGTCCACAATGGAGGAGAGACAGCGGTAGAGATCAGTCACAATCACACTCAACACGCCACTACAAGTACAACAAAAGCCCCACAAAGAAAAAGCCAATAAGAGGAACTGATTAATGTAATCCACCAAAAGATGCAGAGAGGACAGAAATAAAACCCAGGTAATTCAGGTAATTCTGGTGCTTCGGTGCAGCCAAACACTGGAGAGAGAAACTCCCTTCAGACAGCAACAAGGAAGAAAGATTACAGAGAAAGTTTTATGGAAGCACAACACTGTCCTTTATGCTATGAATAGTAACAATAATATTATTAGTGTTAACTTTATCTCATAAGGTTTAGTGAAGTCCAATAATTGGACACCAACTGTGTGATTGCTGCAAGCACACATAATTCTAATTTTCACATATAAAGCATATTAGTTTATTCTGGCTATTATTCATCTTATTATTCATTTAATTGATGTAGGCTACGGCCATTCATTCATTCATTTCATCTAATCTTCACCAAAATAGGCACATAGCATATTTAGATGAAGCAAAACAAAACGTACAGGTTCGTGCTTAGGTATCATGGCCCAATGTGCTTAAGTTTTCAGGTTGTTTTATTTTACTGGCAGAAATGGACTCCGGTACTGAACGGAAGACTCAAACTGCAGGAATCAGTTTCTGTTTGAACAGCTGAGTGTTTGTGTAGTGACGGACAACATGGAGGACTCCGCCTGTTCAAACACACACTGACACACACAGTTACACACACTCTCCTGTCAGATGTAGTTTTTCAGTAAAATCATTCAGTTTTAATCTGTGTGTGAATTATTGATCAACCCGTCACACACACACACACAGCTGGTTTAAACATGAAGACATTAAACATTTATTTGACCTGCTGGACTAGAAACACACACACACACACACACACACACACACACACACACACACACACACACACACACACACACACACAAAAACTGGGGGATTTGCCAGGAAATGACAAAGAGCCAGCTGTGACATCACATTTTACAGCCAATCAGAAGAGAGCGTTGTTTCCTGCTATTTTGTTTCCTAATGAACGATGTTTGTGTTTGTTGACTCGTCAAACCAGGAGGAGGTGATCAGAGAGGCTGGTCTCAATCAATCTATTAATCAAATCAATCAATCTATAACCTAAAGAAGGAAAATTGTGAAATAAATCCAACTAAAGCTTCAGACAGATAAAGGGAAGTTGAAGATTCTATAATTTGTGTATTTCTTCAAGTTTCTGTAACTGAGGAAGTTTCCACCTGAATGTACTGATTGGACTACTTAAAAGGACCAGTGTGTAGAATAGAATGCCATCTAGTGGTGAAGTTGCAGATTGAATGTAAGATAAACTACAGTAATGTCTCTATCTAGAGTCAGAGTTTGGTTTGTCTGTTCTGGGCTCCTGTAGAAACATGGAGGTCCAACATGGCAGATTCCACCAGAAGAGGACACACTAAACACTAAAAAACATAAAACATACCTATGGATATTATATTATTATTATATTAATATATTAATGTGACACACTGGAGCTTCAGGAGCCGTTCAGATTGAAAACTACAGCCGCACCACTTTCATACTTTTATCCAAGACGATGGTTTCACCACGGTGGTTACTAAGCAACCAGTAATTTAGCCTCACTGAATAATTAAAAGTCAAACCAAAGCTACATGGACTAGCCGCAGTAGCTTTATGCTCCCTCTGAGTGGAGAAAAGAAATAAAGTCTTCAGTTTGACCTTTAATCTGATGTTGTTAGGTCCCGTGGTGTCACAAAGAAAGCACGCCACAACAGCGTCGCTTTTTTATCTCTGATGGAAGTAATGAATTCAAAACATCTGAAGGAGCCTTTAAACTGTTGCTGGGTTTTAACAGTAATTATTAATTCATTAACATTATATTTGTTTATATTCATTGTGACAAAGTTCAAATGTTTTCTTGAAAAATAAACGGAAACAATATTATGGAACTGAATGGACGCTGTCTCTGTATATATTTATATATATTAAATATAATGTAATGTATATATTAACTTATAATCTATATAAAGTGTGTCTGTGTGACTTTACAACAGATTCCTTTAACAATATTAATAATAATATGAATCCAACCTGACGGTCTAAGACCAGAACTAACTGGACCCTTTACTCAGTAAGACTCAGACCTGGGGCAGGTTTTGTCCGATGCAGACTCGACACAGACGGTGGATGGTGTGCATGACAGTGGGTCCGGTTGTTGGTTCAGATCCTGCAGCTCCACCAGTCCATCTGATCTCCAACGGGGCTGAACCACAACCAGGAGCTGGACTGAACCACCGCTAATCCAGGTCAAGGTTTAATCCCAGATTTAGAAAGCCAGATCCAAGTCTAATCCAAGTCCAGACTTTAGAAAAACAGGTTCAACCCAACCAACAAATCCAGATTTACAGGACCAGGTCTAACCCACGTCCAGCTGGTCCAGGTGAACCAGAGAGTGTGAGACAATCCACAGTGAGTGTGTGTGAGTGTGAGTGTGTGTGTGTGTGTGTGTGTGTGTGTGTGTGTGTGTGTGTGTGTGTGTGTGTGTGGGAACCAACAGTCAGAAGAATAGCAGGAAACACATTCACAAAAACACTGGATGTATCCCGACGATAAGACACACACTTCCTGAATACACAGTCTCTCTCTCTCTCTCTCTCTCTCTCTCTCACACACACACACACACACACACACACTGTGTGAACGTCATTCAGGATTTTCACTGTTTTCTCTTCTGGACTCTTAATAAAATATGTGAGAGGATAATGGGACATTACCAGAATTTAATGGACATCTTTAAAGGGCATTATCCTCTTATAACAAAGAAAACAATAACATGATTCATTTATATATGTGTTACCTTATACCTTCGATATAAGTTGGGGGATATTTCTAGTTCCCTCAGCTCAGAGCGCTAACATTACACAACGAGACACTAACACTAAGCTACAAGACAGAGAGCTAATGTTACACTACGAGACAAAGAGCTAATGCTATGCTACGAGACAGAGCGCTAAGGCTAAGCTACGAGACAGAGAGCTAAGGCTAAGCTACGAGACAGAGTGCTAACGTTACACTACGAGACAGAGAGCTAACATTACGCTAACATACGTCTAACAACATTCACAGTCAATAAAAGTAAATATAAACAACACAAGCAGCTATCAGACATGTCACTGTCCAGATTCTGACCAATAAGAGGACATGTGTGCTGATAGCTGCAGCCTGAAGTAACAAGCTGAACAGCCAATGGGTGAGGAGTTCAGCGTGTAGGGGCTCGCTAACTCTTTGTTATTGGTGCACATAGAAAAAAGGGCTGGGGCTCCGGAAGAGTTGATTAATGTAAGTAATGTCATCAATGTGAACAGATTCTTCTTGATTTGAAATGTCAATAAAAATGAAAAGTGCAAAGAAACCATAAAGGGTAAATCAACAATGTTCCTCTGAAATAAACAAACAAACTGAACAGCTTGTGTGTGCTCATATTTCTATATTAGTGCTCACAGGTACACAGTATTTATATACTGTATGAAGAGCAGAAACAGCTTCACTCTATAATTCATCACATGTGAATGTTTGATGAGCCAGTACAGAAAAACACACAGTGTGTGTGTGTGTGTGTGTGTGCTTCTGGTCGGTTCGTCAATAATGTTAGAATATTAGCTAGTTATTATAGAAATAATTTTATTTTTCTCACTTTCTTCAAAACCTTTATTTCAAAGGTCATCAGTAACGTTAGCATTAGCACTAGCATTATTACTACAATGACATAATAATTTTGAACATGCTAGAATAACTAATTTATATGCAGACGATACAATCTTGTACGCCACTGAGGAAATCACTTCAGGATAGTCTTCTTGAATCACATTTATTATTGTTTCATTAAAGCTGCCGAGACTGAAGAGATGTGGTTTGGTCACCTTGAACATCGGCAGTAAAGGTGGAACCATCCTATAGCAGGTTGCGCTTTATAAATACCTTCTCTCAACGCGTCACCATTTCAAAGGTAAAATCTGGTTTTCTAGATAGAAATCTTTTACATCTGCTGCCAAATAACAGAAATAAATACTTAAGAGCTATAACTGCCTCCTGTGTTCAGCGAGGTCTCTGCATACTCACATCATTTGGTTTACGCTTTAATTTATCCAACTCTTCTCAGACACTCACCCTGTTACTGGTGGCCAAGTACAATAAATACAAAAAGAAGACCCTGATTCTTACATCAGAGTCAAGGTCCCTAAATCTAACACGTCCTTCAGTCTGCATCTACTAATGATTGGAATCTGCTGGATCAATTGATCTCAGTCACTGCCTTTAACTGTGTACTAATGACCATTTTCCTGCTGTGTGATTGGACGATTTAGTCACTGTTAGTTTCTTTTTTATGTTCTTGTTTATCTCTTTCTGGATGTTTCCAGGTCGTCGGGTTAAATAAATGTGAAATCAATTTTAAAAAATTGCTGTTCACAAAATGTAGAATAATTTCTGAGTTTGGGATAATACTTAAAACCACGTTAAAGGATGTCATGTGACTCACCGTCAGACGCTGGGTGCTGTCTCTGGTTGCCTGGCGCTGGTTGCTGTTGCCGTACAGCGTGGACACATAGCTGCTGTAGTTGGCGTTGGCAGGGTTGGAGCTCTGGGGGCGACTGGAGCTCAGGTTGTAGTTGGTCAAGTCTTTGAGTCCAGCAGCGACGGTGGTGTTGGTGTTGGTGGTGTTACTGTTTGACAGGTTGGTGGTGGTGGCAGAGGTGGTGGTGCGGTTAAGGTCAGTATCTGGAGCAGAATCGGGAGTCTTCCTGAGATCTGCTGCAAGAAGATAACCACCATCATCATCATCATTACCTGCAGTGTCATCCCACGACCAGGCAGTGTTCTTCCAGAACATCCTGACTGTCCTCAGACCAGATCAGACTGGACCAGATCAGTCAGACAGGTGGTTCTGGATCACAGTAAAAAGGACCATACCAACACCAAAACTCCAAAAGTCCCTGTTTTTAAACTTTCTTTGATTTCAAGACTTCCAGAAAACAGATTAAAAGGATCGAACCAAGAACCTGCAGATCTTAAACCAGAATCAGAAGACTTCAGTAGATCTAATCCTCCTACATGATGGTGTTTATACTACAGACAGTACTACAGACAGTACTAGAGATGCGAGTCCAGCTGCTGCAGGAGTCAGTTTCTTTTTCTGTCCTTCCTTCGTCCCTTTTCGCTCTCTGAGGGGTCGGGGCGAACGAGTGTCAGATCTCAGTGTGATGTCAGAGAGAGAGAGAGAGAGAGAGAGAGAGAGAGAGAGAGAGGAGGGAGGGGGGGGGGGGGGGAAAGAGAGAGGAGGGGTTTACACTGAGATAGATGGAGTCGGGGGGGGCGGTTGAGAGGCATAGGGACAGAGGTATTGTGAGGGTCACATGGTTACGGGGCAGCTTCTCATCACCATGGTAACCGTATAGACCCCCGGGGAGAGAGAGAGAGCAGGAGTCAGGTTTAATCTATATCTACAACTGCTCGCTCGCCCCTCTCTCCCCCATCACTCTATTTATGGAAATACATATAGATCACATATGGGACAGTGTGTGTGTGTGTGTGTGTGTGGTGTGTGTGTGTGATAGTTTGTTGGTTCGTGCTAACGCTAGCTAACGTTTCCACCACAGTGAGTGTTTACAGTGTTAAAGACTGAATCTTGGTTCTTCTACAGTTTGTGTTGATTGTTGCTGTAAATGAACTCTGACCTCTTTCCTTAAAGGAGCCTTTTTCCATCAGTGAGTAAACAGGAAATAATCTGCTCAAAATTCTTCCAAATCTCTGGTTTTACTCAAACTTCCTACAGTTATTGTTTTCACTGTTTGGGTTCATTGTTCAGGTTTGATATAATATAAAATATCTATAAAGTATGTTAGTCAGGGGTTGACAGTTTACTCAATGAAAAGGGAATCTGTAACATTTATATCTATAATCAACAGGGTATAAACTCTAGAGCTGGTTCTATATGGAGCTGATTCAATCAATAATCAATAATCAGAAGCTGTCACACACTGACTGTTTACCATCCACTGTTTAGATCTTGGTGCTTTTTAACTCTGGATTTGAACCGGATGAAGGATTTTAGTCATCGGACGTCTGGATCTTAAGTTATCAGAGAAACAAGCTGAGCTAACGTTAGCAGCAGCTCGGCTCGCAGCCCCTCCGGGACGTCCTTTGTCTGTCCAACAGCGTGGGAGAAGCAGTGATTGTTAAGGTGGAACTGCTTTATTCAGTGTGTTTAAGGTGGAACTGCTTTATTCAGTGTGTTTAGTGGTTTTAATCAGCGGGTCTGTTTGTTTTGAAGAGGAGGAGACCTCTGTGGATCATTGGGCTCCCGGTAGAAACCTCCTGAACCATGAACACTGAAGGAATCCTAAACGGGAGAAGCTGACTGTAATGACGCCAATGGTGGTGAAGACAACAACTCCCATGATCCCACAGCGTTAACTCACCGCACTGTGTCAGTACGTCCTCCAGGCTCATCATTGGTTTGTTCTGCTGTGATGTCACTCTCAGGTGTTTGCTCCGCCCAAACCCCTCCCCCAACAGGTAGAACCAACCAGTGACAGGCTGAACACAGAGGGGGTGGGGCCAACATATAAACTGTTTGATAACAATAACAGTAACAATAACAGTAACAATATTAATAATAATAGTTATAATGATTTCTGACTCCTCGTTTAACACTTCAGACTTCAGAAGGAACCAGAGGAGAAAAACATCTGTTCAGCTTCATGTTTGTTTTACATTTTGTTGTTGTTGTTACTTTATCTAATTCCTGTATCGTTTACAAACAGCAAGAAGAGAAGCTCCACAGGAAACTTTTAATGTCTTAACTTTCTGGTTTCACAACTGAAACGTCCAAAAAGTTCAAACGTGAATTTATTTCTGCGACTGACTGATGGATTAATTATTTTCACTGTTAATCATCAAAATATCAGAAAACAGTGAAAAATGTCTTCAACACACACTGAAATCTACAATAATCTTAATTATGAATTTATTACAAAGTGCGACCAATCAGAAACCTCTGTGGCTGCAGTTCCTCTAACGTCCACTAGAGGCTCCAGCAGTGAGTCAGGCTTCAGGCTCCATATTAAACATACATTAACATGTTTACAGCCTTTTGGTCTCTAGAGATAATTTATTCGTTAAAACTTCCAACTTTCACTCAGCAAATGAACCCGCCGAAAAACTGTTTCAGATCTTGGCTCACAGCTGATACTAATACCGCCATTGCTTCCAGCTACGGATGAGTTAAAACTGCGCAGCCAATGAGAGCAGATCAACTCGCAGTACGCCACATCCATTGGCTCCATCTAACTATCACAGCTCTCCACAAACCGATGGGGGACGTCACGATACATTCACACTTGGGTTGGCCACATGGGGGACATGTTTACACTAAACACTGACCTTAGAGGACAAGACGAGGGAACCAATCCCAAAGCTCATACAGCCGATCAGCTGACTGCACATGAGGAGAGACAGAGAGCGAGAGACACAGGTGTGTATCATCAGTACTGACCTCTGACCTTTATCTACAGCAATGAATTTTTTTCCTCACTGCTGTATAAGGAGATAACTCTAAACTGAAAAATGTTGTCACTGACCTGTTGAACACTGACACCAACAACCTGCTGGGAATGAGGTCATCACTGATACACCTGAAACACAAACATATATCATATGACTGTGTGACTCCAGAACCATCAACATATAAAGATGTCCCACTGTACAGGAATGAACCAGAATATCCAGATACGGCCGCTGCCATCTTTCTCCATTCGAAGAAACATTGTCGGACTCCGTAGTTTTCTCTGGAACCCTGCCCAATCTGACCAGTGATGACATGTCATCATTCCACCGCTGCCTTTCTAGGTGCTGTCCAGAAATCGATGTGGGCTTTATAGATAACTGGAAGCCTTTTTGGGGAAAACCTGGTCTGATTAGGAGAGACGGCATCCATCCCACTTTGGATGGAGCGGCTCTCTTGTCTAGAAATATGGCAAAGTTTATTTCTAAAACCTGACAGTCCAGAGTTGGGACCAGAAGGCAGAGCTGCTGTCTTACACACTTCTTTGTGCTTCCACTAGAGCAGTTACCCACCAAAAACCCCATAGAGACTGTGTCTGTTCCCCGACCACCTAAATTATTTAAAGAAATAAAAGCAAGACGAATTAAACATAAAAACCTAATAAAAATTAAAACTAACTCCTCAGTAGCACAAAATAAGAGAATGAAATGTGGACTGTTAAATATCAGGTCTCTGTCCTCTAAAGCTGTTCGAGTGAATGAACTAATATCAGATTATGATATTGATTTACTTTGTCTTACTGAGACCTTGTTGTCCCACGAGGAGTATGTTAGCCTAAATGAATCCTATTCACTTATTCACTTATATATGTTTCCCTTAGGCAATATTATTAGGAATCACTCCATTAACTTTCACTGTAATGCAGATGATACACAGTTATACCTGCCGATTAAGCCCGATGAAATTAATAAGTTATCTGAATTACAAACATGTCTTAAGGACATAAAATCCTGGATGACCTGCAATTTTCTGATGTTAAACTCAGATAAAACTGAAATTCTTGTTCTTGGCCCCAAAAATCTCAGAGACTCACTGTCTAAAGATATAGTTACTCTAGATGGCATTAACTTGGCCTCTAGCACCACTGTCAGGAATCTTGGAATTATCTTTGATCAGGACATGTCATTTAATTCCCACATAAAGCAACAAAGATTAGACATCCTATCACAGACGGATGCAGAAAAACTAATCCATGCATTTGTTACTTCTTGGCTGGATTACTGCAACTCTTTATTATCAGGTTGCCCCAATAAGTCCATTAAAACGCTCCAATTAATTCAGAACGCTGCAGCACGAGTACTGACAGGAACTAGAAGAAGAGATCACATCTCTCCTGTACTAGCTTCTCTGCATTGGCTCCCTGTAAAATGTAGAACAGAATTTAAAATCCTCCTCCTCACCTATAAAGCTCTTCATGGTCAGGCCCCTTCATATCTTAAAGAGCTCATAGTACCCTATTACCCCACTAGAACACTATGTTCTCTGAATGCTGGGCTACTTGTGGTTCCTATAGTCTCTAAAAGTAGAACAGGAGCCAGAGCCTTCAGTTACCAAGCTCCTCTCCTGTGGAACCAGCTTCCAGTTGTGGTTCGGGAGGCAGACACCCTCACCACATTCAAGAGTAGGCTTAAGACATTCCTCTTTGATAAAGCTTATAGTTAGGGCTGGATCAGGTGAGTCCTGAACCATCCCTTAGTTATGCTGCTATAGGCCTAGACTATCGGGGGATTTCCCATGGTGCACTGAGCTCCTCCCTTCCTCTCTCTTTCTGCACTCATTCATGTCCCATTAATGCATGTTACTAACTCCACTTCTTCCCCGGAGTTCTTGTGCTTTCTTGTCTCGCAGGTTCTTATCGATCCTGGTGGAGCCTCCTGCCATGGTCTTGCTTGACTGCCATTGCTAATATCACTGATATTATTGTTATTATTATTAATATTATTATTACTACAGTTACTATTATTACTATTGTCACTGCTCATTGTCCCCCATCATTGTCATCGTCGTCATCTTCTTCATGTTCATCATCATCATCAGTCGCTACTATTAGTGTAGTTGTTGCTGTGCACCTCAGTCAGTCACCAGGGGGAGATAGAGAGAGATAGTCTATACAGCAGTCAGCCACCAGGGGGAGATAGAGAGAGAGAGAGAGAGAGAGAGACAGAGAGAGAGAGAGTCTATACTGCGGTCAGCCACAAGGGGAAGATAGAGAGAGATAGTCTATACTGCAGTCAGCCACCAGGGGGAGAGAGAGAGAGAGAGAGAGAGAGAGAGAGAGAGAGAGAGAGAGAGAGAGAGAGAGAGAGATAGTCTATACTGCAGTCAGCCACAAGGGGGAGATAGAGAGGAGGCGTTCCCTGTCTGCAGCAACATTAACTAATAACCACAATATCACCAGACTCCATTCAAAAAATCACCAATATTAATAGTAATGAAACAAGAGTGTGTGTGTATGTGTGCTTGTGTGTGTGTGTGTGTGTGTGTGTGTGTGTGTGTGTGTGTGTGTGTGTGTGTGTGTCTCACATTACTGATCTGTGGTTGTACTTGGGGTTCTTGTTGTTTAGGACAGTTGGAGTTTTCATAGGCATGCCACAGTTGAGGTCAGAGGTCACCGCCACCTACACACACACACACACACACACACACACACACACACACACACACACACACACACACAGTGAAGTCTCCACCAAACATGCTGTAACACCTTACCTATGACATCATCAGACTTACCTTCACATAGGAGTCACATGACCTCTGGGATTCCCCCATCAGTCCTCTGGCCTCATGGACTGCAGAGAGAGAGAGGCTGCGTTTCATTAGTAGTTCCACTTCCCCTCGTTCACTTACCCTCAGCCCTTGGTATGAAGGCAATGAAGTAAACTGCAATGCATTGTGGGTGATATCCACCTCGGAGTGACCATCGTTGTTCACTCGCTCCCTCAGCCCTCCGAGGGTCCATCTCACCAAGTTCACTTCAGTTTACAGACAATTGGAACGACACTTATGATGGTGGCGGGGATTCCCCCGAGGGCAAGTGAACGACTAATGAAACGCAGCCAGAGAGTTAACTTCCTGTCTGTCTGTCTGTCTGTCTGTCTGTCTGTCCAGGTCTTGATAGTAATTGTTGGTGAAATTATGTAAATATAAATCAATAATCAATAATTAATCTCAGATGTATTCTAAGTAAAGTAACAACCTGTTGATATTTTTGTAATGAAGTTATTAAGTATTTGTACCTCTGACACACTGATGGTCTTATAGATACATCATCACATATAATCAATATCATATAGATCTATTATTGTATTTAAATCAATCAACTGATCATGTGTCTCAGTGTTTGCCCTTATATGGTATTAGAGGGCGTGGCCTGTGCTAGTAGCTGATTGGCTGTTTCACTTACTGTAAATGACGAGTTGTCCCGCCTCCGCAGTGATTGACAGCCGCAGCTGACCTATAGACAGAAATTATTGATCAGTGATAGATATCTGATCCATCTGTTGATTACTTACTGATTAATTTGTTGATCTCACCTCTTCCTCTGAACACAGACGGGTGGATCTTCCTCCTCCTCCTGGTCCTGGTCTCAGTTCTCCTACCCTCAGACCTAGACCTCATCCCGGGTTCCCCCCTCTCTGGACCCACGACTCTCTCAGACCTGCTGGTCCTGTTCTCTGGGGATACTGCTGCAGTCCTCAGTGGATCCGCTGTAGACCTGGATCTAACCTGGATCAGAGCACACAGGCAGATAAGTACATGGTTCAGGACCAGGATCAGACAGACTCCCTGTCAGAGGCTCTAACTGACCTCCAAGGTGGCCCTGGTCTGTTGGACCTGTAATGATCTCTTCTGATCCAGCTGGGTGTCAGTGGATCCTGGGTCAGTCTGGTCTGTCCCCCTGAGCTCTGCAGTCTGCACTGAACTGTGGATCCTGGTCTTCCTGATCAAGGCAACTCTGACCTCAGGTCTGCAGGACCGGATCTCACCTCCAGACCTGAATCCAGATCCAGTCCTAACTGTGGTCCCGGTTCTGGTTCCAGATTGTAAAAAGCCGCAGAAACACAACACCACAGTGTTATTAGTGATCAGCCTGATCAATAATCAATCAATAATTCTCTGTTCTCACCGTCTGTGAGTTCTCTGTAGATCTGGTTCTCTGTTCTCCTTACAGCCTCCTGTTGTCCTCCCCCTCCTCCTCTTCTTCTTCTCCTCCTCCTCCTCCTCCTCCTCCTCCTCCTCTCTGCTCCCCCTGCTCCCCCCCCTCCTCCTCCTCCTCCTCCTCCTCCTCCTCCTCTCTCCTCCTCCTCCTCCTCCTCCACCTCCTCTCTGCTCCCCCTCCTCCTCCTCTTCCCCTCCTCCTCCTCCTCCTCCTCCTCCTCTCTGCTCCCCCTCCTCTTCCTCTTCCTCTTCTTCCCCTCCTCCTCCTCCTCCTCCTCTCTGCTTCCCCTCCTCTTCCTCTTCCTCATCTTCTCCTCCTCCTCCTCTTTGCGCCTCCTCTTACAGGCTGGAGTTTGACACAGGGCCTCCTGGTGCAGCTGGAGGCCAGCTCCACCACAGGGCCTATCAGGGATTAAACAGTTAAACAGCGCCCCCAGTTGCCGCTCAGTGTACAGCAGTGATCAATACATTCTAATAGAAACTGATATAAACAATATTAATCCATCATTAATAACAGTGTGTGTTAAACTGTATGTTTACAGTGTTTTTCTATATTTTTAAATACATTAAAATATTAATGAAAATGTACACTTTTAATGTAAAATATAATGAATGTAATACACACACATTTGTAAATAGTGTTGGAATAATAATAATAATAATAATAATAATAATAATATCTCTATAGATCAGTGATCAGAGGTTCAGGTTACTGAAGAAGAAAGGAGCAGAAACAGGAAGTGAAGCTGCAGCTCATCACACTGATTGAAGATAACGAGGAGATTAACGGATCAACACACACACGCACACACACACACACATTCTGGATCTGTTTTTAGTCGTCTCTCAGGAAGGAAATTCCAAACAAACATTCAAACAGCTCTTCCAATGTTTCACATAAATCTTTAAAGTTATTCAAAGAGAAAATGAGACATTTATGATCCTCTTCAAACAGTTTGTTCACATTTAATAAACTCAGAATCTCAAACATTAATTAATAAATACATAATTATATTTATAATAAAGACTTTGAATGATTGAACTCTGCAGTTGTTGGAATCTGAATTCAGTCTCACCTCTTTCTGCTGCACAGAGACACTTCCATCAGTATCCTGACTGACTGATTAACTGATCAACTGATCAACTGACAAACTAACAGTCTAACTAAACGCTCAGTGTTTGAATCTTTCTGCTCAAACTCTCTGTTTTTCTTCTGTTTTTCCGTCTGGTTTGAAAAAATTCAAACCAGACACAGATTTTCAAGTTAAAACAAACCAACCAAACCATTTCCTATCTGCACTTTCAAAATAAAAGCTTCTATCTTTATGCAGTTCAAATAAACTATTTATTTTATTAGAGAAATCCACATTAATGAGTGAAAACTCTTCATCCACATTGGGTCCAATGAGATTGAACTGTTTGATATGATCAAAAGCTCTGGAACAGCCACTCAATGGACCTCATCCTGCTTTTTAATATCAAGCAGTTCACTCAATCAGTTCAGATCAATAACACAAACTACAACAGGTCAATCTAACAGGAAGTTACTGTTTCTGATCAGACTCTGTTAGTCAAACCAGTAAAATAATCAATTAATAACTGGATTCAACACCAGGCTTTTACTGTGAAAATCACTGCTCTGCTTCCTGTGTTGACTGATGTTATTATGTTCTGTCTCTTCCTGTGTGTGTGTGTGTGGGGGGGGGGGTCGACATGTGTTTGTCATTAACGGGAGGGGGCAGGGCTGCCTCTTTCAACAGCAGCAAACCAAACTCCATTCAGAAATCAGACAATTTAAGATCCACAGAGAACAATGATTGATTAATGATTACTGCTGCTGACTGACAACATAAATAACAACACTTTATATGTTATATTATTTATACTGACAGAAAAAGAAACAGATAAACTGTTTAACAAATAATACATTGAATATTGATCATTGATCAGCCGTCACACTGACAATAACAGAGTCCTATAACGACTTTAGTCCCTCTGAAATTGATAATCTTGTCGATAGTGCTACAGGCTCACTACGATCAACATTAGACTCTATCGCTCCTATAAAAAGGAAATTATTAAAACATAGGAGACTAGCACCTTGGTATAACCACCAAACCCGCCAGTTAAAACAAATAGCTAGGAAATCTGAAAGGAAATGGCGCTCTTCCAAATTATCAGAATATTGCTCAATTTGGCAAGATAATCTTAAAACTTATAGAAAGGCCCTCCGTAATGCCAGAGGAGCCTATTACTCAGCACTAATAGAAGAAAATAAGAACAACCCTAGGTTCCTCTTCAGCACTGTAGCCAGGCTGACAGAGAGTCACAGCTCTATTGAGCCACATATCCCCATAAACTTAAGTAGCAACGACTTTATGAGCTTCTTCTATAATAAAATTATTACTATTAGAGAAGAAATTAATCACCAACTGCCATCAACAGTTATCAGTGGCTCTCCAAGTTCAGGGACTTCTGCTAATGTAAATTTAGATATATATTTAGACTGTTTTTCTGCTATCGATCTTCATCAGTTAACTTCAATCATTTCTTCATCGAAGCCATCAACCTGTCTATTGGACCCGATCCCAACTAGGCTGCTTAAAGAAGTTGTTCCCTTAATTGTAATTGTAATTAATAATTAATAACTTTACTGGATATGATTAATCTTTCTTTATTATCAGGATATGTACCACAGTCCTTTAAAGTGGCTGTAATTAAACCCCTTCTTAAAAAGCCCACTCTTGACCCAGGGGTTTTAGCCAACTATAGACCGATTTCTAACCTCCCCTATCTCTCTAAGATTCTGGAGAAAGTAGTCGCCAAAGAGTTCATCACAGCACAGAGACAGCTCTGGTTAAAGTTAATAATGACCTTCTGATTGCTTCTGACAATGGACTTGTCTCTGTACTTGTATTATTAGATCTTAGTGCTGCATTTGACACCATTGACCATGATATTCTTTTACAGAGACTTGAGCATCAAATTGGCATTAAAGGAACCGCACTCCACAAGGTTCTGTACTTGGACCAATACTATTTACTTTATATATGCTCCCTTTAGGCAACATTATTAGGAATCACTCCATTAACTTTCACTGTTATGCAGATGATACGCAGTTATATCTATCAATCAAGCCCGATGAAATTAATCAATTATCTAAATTACAAACATGTCTTAAGGACATAAAATCCTGGATGAGTTGCAATTTTCTGATGAAAAAAACGAAATTCTTGTTCTTGGCCCCAAAAACCTGTCATTTAATTCCCACATAAAGCAACAAAGATTAGACATCCTATCACAGACGGATGCAGAAAAACTAATCCATGCATTTGTTACTTCAAGGCTGGATTACTGCAACTCTTTATTATCAGGTTGCCCCAATAAGTCCATTAAAACGCTCCAATTAATTCAGAACGCTGCAGCACGAGTACTGACAGGAACTAGAAAAAGAGATCACATCTCTCCTGTACTAGCTTCTCTGCACTGGCTCCCTGTAAAATGTAGAATAGAATTTAAAATCCTCCTCCTCACCTATAAAGCTGTCTCTCGCTCTCTCTCTCTCTTTCTCTCTCTCACCCCAACTGGTCGACACAGACGACCACCTACCTAAAGCCGAAGGATCTGCCCTAGGTTTCTGCCTTTTAACAGGCAGTTTTTCCTTGCCCTTGTCGCCAAGGTCTTGCTCATGGTGGTACTGTTGGGTCTCTGTAATTAATGTTTTAAAGAGTTCTGTCTAGACCAGCTCTATTTGAAAAGTGTCCTGAGATAACTTCTATAATGAATTGGCGCTATACAAATAAAATTGAATTGAATTGAAGTGAATTGAATTGAACAGTAATTAATAATAATAATAATAATAATAATAATGCATTTTATTTGTAAGCGCTTTTCTGTTTTTGAGGTGGAAAAAGGCAGTTCTGGTGATTTGTTTTATGAGGTGTTCAAAGGAGAAGTTATTGTCAAAGATGAGGTTGCGACTGTAAGGGGATGGAGACAGAGTGGAGGTGTCGACAGTGAGGGGAGAAACTGTGAATGGTTTTAGTGATGGATTTGGGAACGATGATGATCATGTCTGTTTTGTCCCAAGTTTAAGGAAGTTGTGTGCATCCAGGATTTAATGTCAGTGAGGCAGTTGGAGAGAGGGGAGTGAGTGGCAGAGGTTATGGATTTGGTGGAGATGTAGAGCTGGACATCATCGGCATAGCAGTGAAAGTTAAGACCATGGTGGCGAATGACGTTGCCAAGGGAAAGCAGGTAGAGTATGAAGAGGAGAGGACAAAGCACCGAGCCCTGGGGGACACCTTGGGACAGCGGAGCGGTGGAGGAGGTGCAGTTGTTGATGTGGATGAACTGTTGTCTGTCGGTGAGATAAGATTGGAGCCAGGAGAGGGCGGTGCTGGTGATGCTGAGGGAAGATTTGAGGCGGGAGAGAAGAATGGTGTGGTTTATAATGTCAAAAGCTGCAATGAGGTCCAGGAGGATGAGGATGCAGAGGTGACCAGAGTCTGAGGAGAGGAGGATGTCGTTGGTGACTTTGAGGAGGGCTGTTTCAGTGCTGTGTTGTGAATGGAAGCTGGATTGAAATGGTTCGAACAGGTCATTTGAGCAGAGGTGGGTTTTGTGTTGTTTGGCGACAGTGCGTTCCAGTATCTTAGACAGAAAGGGGAGATTGGAAATGGGCCAAAAGTTTGACATGATGTCGGGGTTGAGTCCAGGTTTTTTGAGCATGGTGGTGAGAGCAGCCAGTTTGAGTGAACGGGGGATTGAGCCAGAGCTGAGAGAGGAGTTGATGATTTCTGTGATGAGTGTGGACATAGCTGGTAGACAGTCCTTGATGACGTGGGATGGGATGGGGTCCAGGACACATGTTGATGTTTTCATCCCTGTTAAGATTTTGGACAGCTCCCCAGGGGAGAACTGAGACAGGGACTGAGAGGTGAAGGGGGGAGAAGCAAATGATGGAGTGGGAGAGCAGACAGCGGTGGCAGAAGAAGAGGACAGGTTGTTGTAAATGGTGTCAACTTTGGTCTGAAAGAATGAAAGAAAGGAGTTGCATT